TGCAGCATTTGGTTGATTAACACTGAAAAAAATTTGAGCTAGTCAGAAGCAAATCCCCATTGCCAACAAAGGTGTAAAATTTAAAAGCAAAGTATTTATGTTAACTTTGACACTCTAGTATATCAGCTTGATTTTAAATTATTAAGACAATACAATCTTACAGCTGGGAGTGTGTGGAAATTGCAGGGACTGAGGGGGTGTAGGAGATAAGACTCATTCTCGTGTAAAGTATGCTAATCAGAGATTTTTCCTCTCTCACACAATAGTAATTAAATTTCAATCCCTGCATAGTGTTTGCAACAGGATGGACTGTTAAAACACGGTGTGCAATTTCACTCATCTCCAAAAAATATTTTATGGACTATATATCACTGTTCAAAAACAAATCAGGCACATGTTCAAAGCTGTTTTAATATACCTTACTAATACAAACTAAAGTCAATGATACTTTTGCATTCACTAATTAATGCAGTTGAGAAAGGCCTTAAAACTTCTTTTAGTTCACCACATACTTCTAGCTATTATGTAGCATTACAAGAGTAAGGACCCAGATAGTCCCAGTTTTCCACAAGGCTCACTTTTCCTTGCCATGTCTAATCTTCTTGTGTCTTTTGAAAATTTACCGCTGCCTAAGTTTTCCACCAGCAAGGACCTCCTCACCAATTCATTGTTGCTTTGCCAAAATTCTCATCTCCTCTGTTGTCTTCTTTTCAACAAGAAACCGGATCTCACCAGCTCCTGTTGGTTGCTAACACAAAAATAATTCCTGCTCTTTACAGCAGGCGCGGCATTCTCTCTCTTCCTCTGTCTCTGTGTGTGTGTGTGTGTGTGTGTGTGTGTGTGTGTGTGTCTGTCTGTCTGTCTGTCTGTCTCTCAGAGTCAGGGTCCCAAAAGAAACTAACTCTTTCATGTCATGTGACAAAAATGGTCACTTGATTTTCAATAGGTCTTGGCTTGGTATCTTTCTTCATGGCCATCAGATCACAGGCAGAGATAATGTACTGGTGCTGTCACTGGTCTAGTAACTCAGAGCCTCAGGCTAATGCTCCAGGTCAACAGCTCAAATCCCATTACAGCAGCTAATGTTAGTTGAATTCAATTAATAAATCCTGTATATAAAAAGCTAGCCTCAATGACGGTGATCATGATAACCTTCACTGATTGTTGTAAGAATCTCATCCCCATGAAATCTGTTATCCTTACCCGGACTGGTCTATAAGTAACTCCAGTCCCTTCAGCAATATGCCTTAACTGTCCCATGAAATGGCCTAGCGAGACCCTTAATTCAAGTGAAATTGGATGGGTAACATATGCTGGCCTTTCCAGCAATACCCACATAGGAAAGAAGAAAGCAAGTCCAGAATATTCTGTCTCACCTGTTATGAGTTATTTTAAAACATAACCGTTTTTAAAAAAAATCTCACATTCATTGCCCTCCCACCCAATAAGGAAAGAAAGCATTTCTGTTCTCATGACTTTTCTTGTCCATGATGCTTTCAAAATACAAGAAAACGCACACGTTTTAAATACCTTAACAACAAACTTGTGACACACAGTTCAGGTAAAATTCTTGCCTCTTTTAGTCACATTTCACTGTTAAACATTCAGACTTGGCGATATTGTAAGGTTTCATTCAAAACAATTGATCGCATGTGACGATCAGGTTTGAAAGCTTGCAAATGTTCTTAAAGCCTCAACTCTCTTGCAAACCCTTTATTTTGATTCACCCTCTTTCAATCCATGCGAAAGCCTTCCTTTTGATTTCAGGGTTTCCAGGTGCACAAAAGAGTTCCTTTTCGATTTGTACAGCTCTTCCATGGACTTTGGTGTAAATATTGCACCATGGTTTATGAACATAGAACTGTACAGCACAGTACAGGCCCTTCGGCCCACAATGTTGTGCCGAACTGTTACCCTAAACCTAAGGTCTATCTAACCTCTACCCCTTATACTATCATCCATATGCCTATCTAATAGCCACTTAAATGCCCCTAATGAGGCCGACTTCACTACCCTCTCTAGCAATGAATTCCATGCCCCTACCACTCTCTATTTAAAGAACCTACCTCTGACGTCTCCCCTATATCTACCTCCACTCACTTTAAAACTATGCCCCCTCGTAATAGCTACCTCCACCCTAGGAAAAAGTCTCTGGCTGTCCACTCTATCTATACTTCTGATCATTTTGTACACCTCTATCAAGTCACCTCTCATCCTTTGTCATTCTAAAGAGAAAAGCCCTGGCTCTCTCAACCTTTCCTCGTATGGCCTTCCCTCCATTCCAGGCAACATCCTGGTAAAACTCCTCTGCACCTTTTCCAACGCTTCCACATCTTTCCTGTAATGAGGCATCCAGAACTGGACACAATATTTCAGATGTGGCCGAACCAGGGTTTTGTATAGCTGGAGCATAACTTCATGGCTCTTGAACTCAATCCCTCTATTGTATTCTTTGTGTCTTCCTTTAATACCTATACAGGATTGTGCACTTTCTCATCCTGAGATAGTATTTGTGATGGCCTAAAGGTTTTATAATTTGTTTGGTCTAGTTAACTTTGTCAAGTGGTTGCTGGACTAAGTTGTCATAGAGGTTCCTGCTTAAAAGTACTTTTGTGGATTAAAATCCACATTCACAAGGAAGCAATTATGTCACTGGATGTGAAGTCTATTTCCAACCAAGATTCCCACTCCTGCACCCACACGGAGATGCCTTATGTCAAGAAATTTTCTGTACACTTACGCAAGACTCACATTAAGAACTAGTGAAATTCACACCTAAGCAGCAGTTAGCAGGTTTGAGTAACAGAAAACCTTGAAGCTCAAATCTACAGCCATCTGGTAGAGAGGTAGACATTTCAGCCCCAGTTTCATCAGGCTACCCACACATTGGAAATATTATAGCGATGAATAAATGTCACCTCTATTTTTAGTTTTGGAGCTTGTTTGGAAAAGGTAGGTGTTAAATTTTTGTTTAATCATGAGTCACATCACTTCTAATTTCTATGCTTGCAGCTTACAGTAAAAACGTCCTCAACATTTATTTTCTGGGGCTCTAAATAAGTTTTTTTCAGTTAATGCACACAAAGAGAGCAAAGGTTTCGAATTCATGATGATTTGGGCAGTGATTTATAAAGGCAAGCAGAGACTGTCAAAGTCACCTTACAAAATGTGAAAGAAGCTGATTCAGATAGAGTGTAAAGTATTTATTTTTAGACTTGGAAAAATAATGAGGACAACTATCAGTGCAGTATGGAAGAATTCATGTTACAAAATTTGAAACGTGGGAGAAAATATCAGGAAATTCATTGTTATTTACAATATTTGGTGTTAATTTGCCTCCAACAGTGTACTTTCCTTGTTACAGCAATACATATACTATCTCCTGTAAGATAAGAAACTGGGCATGGATATTATGGTACTGAACATTCCATTAGATATTTATTAAAACTAGATATTACGTACAGATATTACATTCCTCAGAACCAAGTGATAGTATTAAACCATTACGTTACAATAGAGAATTATGCTTTCAGTAGCGTGTCATGCTTCAAGTGATCTGAGGTAAGATGGAGTATGGCATCTTTATTCTCTCAGGTCATGTGCTATAATGCAGTGATGATATTGTGAGCATGATTCTTACAGGTATACTATCATACTGACCATGAGGCATAACAACAAGATTTGCATACTTCTTCCACTTTTAAAGCAAGGTCTTGAATGAAAGTGTAGAAATGTACTGCTAGGCTGTATAAGGCTCTAGTCAGACTTGCATTTGGAATATTGTGAGCGGTTCTGGGTCCCATATTTAAGGAAGGATGTGCTGGCCTTGCAGGGGATCCAGAAGAGGTTTACAAGGATGATCCGAGGACTGAAGGGCTTGTCATGTGAGGAGTGGTTAAGGAATCTGGGTGTGTACTTGATGGAATTTAGGAAGATGATGGGGGGATCTGATGGAAACTTACAGAATACCAAGAGGCCCGGATAGAATGAATGTGGAGAAGATGTTTACACTAGTAGGAGAGATTGGGACCTGATGGCACAGCCTCAGAGTGAAGGGAGAACCCTTTAGAACTGCGATGAGGAGGAATTTCTTCAACCAGAGGATGGTTAATCTACAGAACACATTGCCACAGAAGGCTATGAAGGCCAAGTTATTGAGCGTACTTAAGACAGAGATAGATGGGCTGTTATTGGTCAGGGGATCAAGGGTTATGGGGTGAAGACAGGAGAATGGAGTTGAGAAACATATCAGCCATGGTTGAGCAACAGAGCAGACCTGATGGGCTGAATGGCCTAATTCTGCTACAGTATCTTAAGGTCATATGGTCTAAGTCATATTTTATAGATACTTAAACGGAGGTAACTTTATTCACTATAACTGAGTTGTTGCAATTTTAACAACAAAAAAGTATCCACGAGTTCTAACAGAATGAAACAATTTTGATATTAGATGAATTAAACCCACGATAACTGCTGTTTGGAGTTTATTCTTAGCAAGAGTTTGGGTTCAGCTGGAAACAGGATATTAAAGAGTGTTGAAAAGCAGCATAATTTCTTTTAAGCTTAAAGGTAGCTTCAGTTCTGCTTACAGTATTTGCTGAGTGGTATACATTATCAGCCTCCTTGAAAAGTAATCCAAATGACTTCAATTTCATTCATTTTCAAATTTTGATTTTTCAGACAACTTTTTTCTGACAAATTTTTCAGTACTTTGGCTTAAATGTAGAAAACATACAATTGTATTTGTTTCAGTGAGTTTAGATTAGACAAATATTTAATTGCCATGCCCAAATTGTATCTTTTACCTCTTGGCGAGGGTGGCAGTAAATTGTTCACTTTGAGCAATTCCAACCCAAACTTATAAACACGTGGGATCATTATTCATCAGAAATTGCTAATTTTGATCAGGCAAACCAACAACAGCCATATACACAAATAAAAAAAGATAAGTTGCATGATGAATAGACGGCAACTTCTGAACAGAAAAGGAGTTTCCTTACTTGTTGTACAATAGTGGTCAGTTCCAGACAGAGTTGAATCACATTGTTTCTAGTAACAGAATAGTCTGTCACGGCAGCAAATGGAGATCTAATAGAAAAAAAATGCAGAATATGTCACGATAAATACCAGACATAAAAATCTGAAATGCAGGTCCACATCGTACCAAGATTTTTCTGTCAAGCAGCATAAAAACTATCATAAATGTAAGTATCCCAATATTTTTGTCTTAAAATTGATTAGTACAATGACCCTGGTTCAGTGATTCTACTCAATCCAGGGGCTGGCTCTGAGCTGGCTGGTTAGAGTCTAAGTTCAGTGCACGTGTAAATAAAGGGTGAACTGATGGCAGATACCAGCCTCTGTGGAGTTATTTCAGAGGGGAAATGGAGATTTCATATTCCTGCTGCTGATCAAGGAAAGTCTCATCACTCCAAAAGCATTTTTCAAATTTAATTCAACAGATTCAAGGCTGAAGACATTTTGCCACATGAACATGTACATATAGAAAGAGTTAAAATAAATTCCACAAATGGCAGATTGAAGCCTGACATCAATGTGCTGTAACTGAATTACATTAAGCTGGTGCATAATATTGCAGAGAGTTAGAAGCAAAACCTAAATCTATACTGTCCCTTACCACTTTAGCAATTCGTCAAAATGCCTCCAATACCATGAGTTACTTTTAAATGCTCAATGTGCTGTGATGCAGACAAATATGCCAGCTATTTTCCACACAATATTCCACAAGCAACAGCAAACTGCCATTTGTTCTTTCGCTGGTGGCTGACAAACAGTTGTTCCCAGGTCACCAAGAAAATGCCATCTGCTTCATTTAACACTGCTGTGAGATCTTGAACACCCCTTGAATCATGGGAGCAGGCAGATGAAGCCTGAGCTTAACATCTCATCTGAATGATTACACAATTGACAATGTCACACTCATTCTGCAATGAGATGTCAGTCTAGATTATATAAACAAAGTTGCAGCTAACATTAGCAGCTCAAAAGAACTGGAAGACCAAGGAAAATGAAGATCCTGTGGAAAGACTAGCAAACCTGTCAGGAGGCTTGGCAGGCATCATCATGATGGCAGGAGAACAATGTGAATAAAAACAATAACGATTATAATTATTTTCTCAGGCAGTCCCAAAACTATAGTGCGGTTTAATGCTTATCACAGTACTACAGCAGTCAGATAGCTTGTTGGCTTGATTTTGGTGCAATAATAACAGTAAGGTTAACAACAGTTACTGTTATTACAGGGTAAATCTGACAGCAATGTACTTGTGCAATTAAATGTAGAACCCCAGAGGTTGCATTCAGAAATACCCTTCTTCTCCACAGGGTGCGCTATTGCAGTCCTCACTGATTGACTGGCCTGAGAAGCAGGGATTTTGACTATTAGCCACCTGACTTGCTTTAAAATGTAGTAAAAATTAGAATTCAACTGATGGTATAATAACATAATAAGTGTGTTTTTTTTTCCATGGGATATGGGTGCATCTGGTAAGGCCAATATTTGTTTCCCATCCCTAGTCATTTCAAACGACACATATCATCACCATGTTGCAATGGATCTGGAGTCACATGTAGGCCAGGCCAGGCTACATAAGGATGACAGGTCTCCTCCTCACAAGGACATTAGTGAAGCAGGTGGGTTTCACTGTTACTATTACTGAGACAAGCTTTCGATTTCGGATGTTAATAATTAAAATTAAATTCCTTCTGCTATGTTGGTATCATACCTTAGCATTAACTTCAGCCTCCAGATTACAGATCCATTGGCATAACCACTACACCATTATTTTACACTAAAGGTTACGATTGATCAACATCTGTAAACCTAAAAAATTGATTTTACTTGTGAAGCATTTCATTTCTTCTGTGTTTTTTAGGTTTATTTTCCCTTTCTCTTTTATCTCTCTCCAGAAATATTTAGCAATCTTCATTATGCTTCATGGGCAATGATTAAATGTGTAGGAGGACAACAGAGAAGGTAATGTTAGGTGATATGCGGTAACATTGAGCCCTGCAGGCTCGTGTGGCCTTTTCACCACAACAAAAGTTTATTTCCACACATAATGCTGAAAAAAACTCAGTAGGACTGACAGCATTTGTAGGGAGAGAAACAGATTTAACATTTCAAGTCCACCATAACTTTTCTTCTGCAAGGACAAGGGCAGCAGATAGCTGGGAACACCATCTTCTCTGCAAGTTCCCTTCCAAGCTGCTCACCATCTTGACTTGGAAATATATCACCGGTCCTTCATTGTCACTGGGTCAAAGTCCTGGACTTCTTTCCCTAACAGTATTGTGGGTCTACCTGGAGTGATTGGAACACTGCAGTTTAAGAAGGGCAACTCACCACCACCTTCTCAAGAGGGAACTAGATACAGACAACATTTGCTGGCACTCACATCCCATGAGTGAATTTAAAAAAAGGGAGTTCCCAGCGTGTAGCATCTGAGGTAGTGTGGAGCTAGACTTCAAGTATGGCACCAGTAGTATGCACACAAGGTCCCTGCAATGGCAATTACTTTTTTCACTCCTGTTGCATGAGTCCATAAAATGGGCAACACAGAGCCCAGATACACAATAAATTAGGTGAAAAACTGAAGATTGAGCGAGAAAAGTCACCGGGAGCCATGGTGGACCGCACACCACGAATCTGACTCGGCAAAATACTCTGTCCGAGAAACGGGAAAAATTCAGATCGTGGAACTTCATTTAATCTCAGCACGAGCAATGAGGTCTGCCCATGGTGAATGCTGACTGAGATGGTATGGTAGGTGTCCTGGCAAAGGAGATGTATGGCTTGGAACGGATGGGGCTTGCAGAGTGGGTGAGTGGGGATTGAAAGGATGAGAGAGGTGAGGGCCGTTTTATCTTTGACTGTTTTTTGTAAAGTTGCAGACAGTTGTCAGAGCACTCAGCCAGGCTTTTCCCTAAGCCTGCTTCCAAAGCTGGCAAGCTCTGCACTAACCTCTGCCTGGCACGATTCCAACTAAAGAAGAAAGAACGAAGAAAATTACGGCACAGGAGCAGGCCCTTCGGCCCTCCAAGCCTGCGTAAATCCCGGCAAGCTGGAAATCTCCCACACCTTCAGGACCATTGTCTGCAGAGTCAGTAGCGACAATTCAAGCCTAGTTGTTCAAGGCATTATCATTCCATATCAATGATTTGGGTAGAACTTTCATTGCCATCAGTGATCAACTGCAAACAATAAATCAATTAACTAATCTCATTTTATTTAACGTGATTCTGATCAATATTATTGTGCTGTAGCTCTGGATAGAGAAATTAATGCCACTGCATTTATTGATGAGAGCAATGGTCACATTATTACCTGCATCAGCAGTCTTCAATAATTTATCCATGTCTGAAGGCTCAATTAAAGCAGCTTAAACAAAACTACTGGTAAATATAGAATATGGTTGAAAACCATTAACACAACATAAAATAATAGGTATCTCAGTGATAGCCCAATTTATGACTTTGTAATTAATTTTAAAAAATTCCCTTAAGCACAATTAATCACAGGACAGAACCAATTTCACCAGATCCACACTGCACTTTGTCAACAAAACAGAATTTATATTTCTTTTATTAGATAAACTCATTTTAAGTAACAAATTTGAGTTTTAGTGTCAACAGCATATACAAGTGTTAAAAGCACATACAAGTATCATCTATAGATTTCTGGAGGGGGCATCTGTAGTTTGGAAAAATTGGAAAACAGAGAAAGCATACAGACATCTAACAAATAAAGATCTTGTATTTATATAGCATCTGTCAAATTTGCAGAGCCAAGCCATGAACATTTCTAATAATGATTACTACCTCGATAGAGTTATGTAGGCAAAGGATCACTCAGGATTGTTGTTGTGGCCAAGGAATTGATCTGCAAACTTTCTCTTGGAAGCAGATGCAAAATCCAAATAATAAAATCTGGGTTTCATACTCTGGGGTGCATTTCTCCAGTCTCATTGTTGGAAAGTAAGATCGGAAAACCCGCACACAAATAATAACTCTGGGCTTTATCAGATGGCTGGGAATTGTATAAACGCTACCACAAGGTGGTGCAAAGTACATGCATGCACCAAGAAGTCAAGTGAAATTATCTACCTGAAAATTTTATAATGACAGAGTAAGTAGGAGTTTGACAAATGTTAAATACAAATTAAATCCAGCATCTACAATACTTGGCTGTTGACTTAATTTGAAATGATTTCTATCGAAAATGAGCCTGGCCACAGGACAGCGATCATTTTCTTACAATTTCAGCTTGATTCAGAGATGTGACGGCATTGAGGAGTGCTTTTGGCTTCAGATGTTATGTTTCCAACTTTTTATTTCTTGGCTGTTTTCTTCACTAATTGATTCCTGTCTGTTGCGTTCTTATTACCATATCATTGGCCACTTTCCCCTTCAGTTGCCTTCCTAACGATTATGATCCTTTCTCTATTTTCCTCCTGATACTGAACTTGATCTGGGGCCAACGCTTCTCCACATCGACCCCACAGTCGGCAAAAGCTTTCTTTATTGTGGCTGCGGACATTCCTTGCTAAACCTGCCCCAAACCTTGTTACATTTCTAACGAAAAGCTATCAACACCAAGAATCACTGGCATCATCGGTCATGTACAGCTGGCTATCTTTGAATGGATGGTGGCCATCTTGGCTGATCATCATATCATTCACTGCATATTCTCCAGGTAACATCAAGGCACTCAGCTAAACTGGCCACCACCCATTGAGCATGGGTAGATGGTTGCCAGTGACTCTTAAAATTCACAGCTTATCCTCAATAAAAATTCAAATTTCATTTGGAATTAACATTTGTTGAATCTTCACTTTCTCTGTCGTAATAAAGGTGCCTGGCAGATAGTTTACTTGACCTCTCTAAGTATGCATTACATTGTGCCACCTGCTGGTGGTATTTATACGTTTTACAGCTTACCATATTGCTGGTTCGATCTCTGTCTGAATTCAAGGTGAGTTTCTGGACTTAGACCGCGGTAACTGCTGCTGGACTTTAAGCTTATACTTATATGTTCTCTGAACATCCATGAAAATTTGAATTTCTTCATGCTCCTTTCTTTTCTGTCAAAGTCCTGTAAATGTTGGTTTCTTTTTTTTACATTCATGCTCTATGTTCTATAATTGCACTGTTTCTAACAGAAAGATATACGAGAATGATCACCCATAGAATCTACACCATTGAGATCTATTTGACTGGAAAATGTGTCAAAGATTCTTAGAATCCCTACAGCATGGAACCAGGCCATTCGGCCCATTGAGTCCATGCTGACCCCCTGAAGATCATCCCATCCAGATCCAGACCCCTACCCTATCCTTGTAACCCTGTGGCTAATCCACTTAGCCTACATCCCTGTACATGATGGGTAATTTAGCACGGCCAATCCACCTAACCTGCACATCTTTGGACTGTGTGAGGAATCTGGACGAAACCCATGCAGATACGGGGTGAATATGCAAACTCCATACAGACAGCCACCATGGGTGGAAGTGAAGACCACCCCCCCCCGGCCCGCCCGGGTTCTAATCACTGAGAGACAGCAGTGTTAAGCATCAATATTTTCAGGTTAAAAATGTATGCTGACATAACACGAATGTTGGGCTAAACTGTCAGCTTGGAGGTCCAATGATGCAACAACTGACAGGGAAAAAGCAAGTTCAATAAACCAACTTGAGGAAGAGAGTAGGTTCAATAAAACTAATTAATCAGTGTTAATGAAATACACTCAGATAAAGCAGTTTTAAACAGAATTATTCAGCACATTATTCATGGTTCAAATCACTAAATATTTCAAGTACTCTTGAGATATTTTCCAGTTAGATAGTAACAGCGGATTTAGGAATTTTATTTATTGAAACTCAACTTCTTTAACCTATTTTTAATCGAAATTTATGCAATTGAAACTTATCTCTTAGTCAGTATGTACCGACAAAGCTACTGTTTGACCCAAAAGGGTGTGTAGGATTTGTAGTTAGGATGATTGGAAATTTAATTATCAAGGCAAATAAGAGTTCCATTGATTTGAACCAATTAATAACCCTACACACGTTTACAGTCTTTCACTCATAGTGTACAAATGACTACAATCTGAGAACTACCTGTCCAGCCATGCCAGAAGACTTTTAGCAGCACCTATGAGATCCACTACTGACGTCAGGAAATCATTTGGCAATCTTCTTGAAGTCCTTCCATCATAGTGCCCACTCCTCCTCCGACCAGTTATGAAATTCTGGAGATTTTTAGCAGAGGCGTTCAGTTTGTGCGATAATGTTTTGAGGTTCTCGGTTTCAAGTCCATAGTTCTAAAAAAGACGAAAGAGCCAAATAATTCTGTCTGAGTCTGAAATTTCATAATGGTATTGTCTATGCTTGATCTTTGCAAATGCATCAAACAACCAGACATGATAATGCTTAAACATTGTCTTTTACTGTCGACCCTCCCACCTTTGAACACAACACCGCAACCTGTATCTAAAATAAGAAGATTATTTAGAAAATGCAAACTGACTTTTCTTAAGCAGGTATCATGTATGAAGCGAGCTTATAAAGCATAAGTCCCGATTATGTTCTACTTAGTAATAATGTGCACTTTTAAGATTTGTCACTTATTGCTTTAAAAAGTTGTGCAAACATAATTTAAACTTCACTGAAGAGAATCGGCTATTAGTAAAAACAAAGTAGTGTGGCTGCTGGAAATTGAAAATAAAAGCAGAAAATGCTGGAAAAACTCAGCACGTCTAGCAGGTTCTGTGGAGAGAAAAACAGAGATAGCATTCAAGTTTGATAAGCCTCCGATCTGTTATCTGCACTCTGATTTTTTTATTAAGACCTGTTGACGGGACACAGAGCGCCTTCATTTCTCTGCTCCCCATGCCCACTCTAACCTGTCACCCTCTGAACTTGAAGAGACATATCGGACTCGAAAGGCTGGGCTAAATCTGACTGTATTTTGGCTGTGCCATTTTTGGTGAGTTTCATGGAGGGTTTCCCCCCATGGAGGCCAAGTACGTTTTCTCACACAGCCATCCCAAACTCGCTTCATTGACAAGCTTCCCCAGCCCCATGGCATCCACTGCTAGCACGATTCTCCCACTTTCCATAACCAGAAATACTCATCACAGGTGGACAGCTGGGGACCCCTGCTGCTGGCTCAATCTTTAAAAGGGTCATTGTGCAACCTTCAAATGCCATAAGTCCAGAGCTTCCCCGCCTGGTTTATGACATGCACCCTGGAGATGGAAGATAAGGAGAAATTGGTGCCCTGCTGAATGACAGGGAGGTCCAGGTGGATGGGGGATTCAGACAAGAGCTGTCCTCTTGCCCTGGGACCGGCAGGGGAGGTCAGAACACCAGCCCATGGTAGACTGGGCTATGGTTGCCAATTGGGCCAGCGTGATCTCAACTATCGAGAGAAATGCACAGTGATGTCACAGGAAGGTCACCATCACTCTCTGCTCCACCAGTGTAAATGCTACCCTCTTCTCTCTGCCACCTCATTATATCTCTGCTACTGCCTCCCACCAAAACTCATGCTTTACCAGTTTCACGACTGCCTGAGACATCTTCTCCGCTCACCCCCAACCCAACCAATTCCTCCTGCCTACTAACCCTGCAAAGCCTCTGCATCTCCTACTCACTGAACTGGGACACCTCAGCACCACCTCTCTTCCACCTACTCCAACACTGACAGCTGAGCCAGCCACTTTCATCTCACTCACTCATTCCCATAGTCTCATTACAGGGGATAACAGCCCACAGTAGGGCAGGAAGAGACGAGACGGGTAGTGGGGTGCCCGACATTCAGCTCCTGGCATTCCCCACTTGCCCCCCAAGAAAAAGATCCTGGCCACAGCTGTCCTGAGCTCTCCATCCCACACCCTGGACTGATATCAGACGAGATCTTTCACCGACTCTACATAAAAACTCCTGATTGATAGCAGTCCCCTGAATTTGAACGAGGACTGCTCCCCTTCCATAAGACCATCAGATAAAGGAGCAGACTTAGGCCATTCAGCCCATTGAGTGCTCCACCATCCGATCATGGCTGAAATGTTTCCCAATCCCATTCAACTTTGAGACGTGGCCATTCAGTTGACGTACATACAATGTATTTGCCACATGGGCTGTTGGCACAAGCTATAGATGTATCATTGAGATACGACAGTGCTGTAGAGCAAAGTGTCCATCCCTTGACTGATGATAGCTGACAATCGTAACAAGCTTTGTGTCTGTGCTAAAAGGCAAGGCAAGACAGAAGGAAGTGAGCATTTAAACTCTCATCGAGGGGGCAAAGTACAAAAAGTCAAGGCAAGATCAGGCAAGGGAAGAATGCTGTCAGCACCCACAGAGTTGCAAAGTGAGTGAGCACTAACAGTGCGAGTAGACGGTACTGAGACACAGCCTGGCCTAAGCTATAAGCTGCAACCCTGTGTACAAAGTGTGCTTGCAGCTGCATTGCAATGAAAGGTGCTGGTGCATTCCAAGGTGCAGCATTGAAGTGTAGAACAGTACTGTAAGTAGATCCGAGATTTGCTGCAATGTTGTGGTGAGGTTGGTACATGTGAGGTACCAACAACCATGGAATGCGTGGGTGCACGTGCCTGCTGCCTATTCAGTGTGTCCTGAGGTGTTGGCGCCAGTGGTCCAAGATGGAGGTCTGGAGGAGAAAGTAGTGAGCTGGAGTCACCAGGGATCTGCTTTGACTTCCATGTCACGAATTCTCGGTATCTAGTTTCCAGGGAATGGAAGCCTGCCTATTAATGACATGAGATTACCTTTTTTTTATTCATTCATTCATTCACAGGATGAGGGAGTCACTGGCTCGGCCAGCATTTATTGCCCATCCCTAATTGCCCAGAGGGCAGTCAAGAGTCAACCACATTGCTGAGGGTCTGGAGTCACAAGTAGGCCAGATCCCAAAACATTATGTGGATCTCTGGATTAATAGTCTTGCAACAATACCACTAGACCATCATCTCCCCCAATGAGGGTAAAAAACAGTGAGAATCCATGTTAATTCACTCAATAGTGAGAATCCCATCTCAACGTGATTGAAAAGTGCAACCATTTGATCTCAACATTGAGAATGGCCTCACTTAACATTATATCCAATTTTCCAGAACTACTCACCAAAGTCAACAGCATATGAAGAAGGGGAATTTTAGGAGGGGCGACTATATGTTTAGTCAAATAGATGGGTCTCAAAGACCATAAGACCATAGCAACATAGGAAATCGGAACATGTGTAGGCCAATCGGCCCCTCCAGCCTGCTTCACTATTCAATAAGATCATTAGCTGATCCAACATTCCTTATCTCCTCTTTTCTCCCCTTTCACCATAACACTTGATTCCTCGACTGATCAAGAAACTATCTAAGTGTTGAACTTACTGAAGGAATCTGCTCCCACAGCTGTCTGTGGCAAGGAGTTCCAAAGACTTACAACCCTCTTAGAAAATAAATTTCTCCTCATCTCAGTCTTAAATTGGTGCTCCTCTATCCTGAGTCTATGCCCTCTGCTTCGAGACTCTGCCAAGAGGGAAAACATCGTCTCAGCATTTACCCATAAGAATCTGACATGTTTCATTCAGATCATCTCTCATTCTTCCAAACTCCATTGAATAGAATCCCAACTTGTTTAATCTTTGCTCAAAAGACAATCCCTCCATACGAGGGACCATCCTCGTGAACCTTCTCTGGACTGCCTTCAATGAAACAATATCTTTCTTTAAATAAGGGGTCCAAAACTGTTCACAGTGCTCCATTTGTGGACTCACCAGCACCTTGTACAGTTGCAATAAGATTTCCCTCCTCTTACACTCTAACCCTCTTGAAATAAGGACCAACATTCCATTAGCCTTCCCGATTACCTGTGTGCTAGTTTTCTGTGTTTCATGCACAAGCACCCACAGTCCCTTTGTGTGTTACAGCTTTCTGCAGTTATTCTCCATTTAAATAATATTCTGTTATTTTGCTTTCCCTTCCGAAATGAACAACTTTGCATTTTCCCACATTATAATCCATTTGCCAACTTTTTTCCCATTTACTTAACCTATCAATATCTCTCTGTAAACTGTTTCTATCCCTCTCACAACTTGCCTTTCCACTTATTTTTGTGTCATCTGCAAGTTTGGTTACAGTACATTCACTTCCTCTCCAAGTCATTAATCTATAATGATAGACAGTTGCGGTCCCAGCACTGATCCCTGCGGAACACCACTGCTCATGAGTCACCAATTGAAAAACAACCCCTTATCCCCACTTGGTGTTTCCTACCCATGAGTCAATTCTCTATCCACACCAACATACTATGTCCCACACTGTGAGTTCTCATCTTATGACCTAACCTATAGTGAGGTACCATGTCAAACACCTGCAAGTAACTAAGTTTAATACCTCAAGAACTGATTCGTTTGAAAGTCAAGGAAAGATCACTTTGAGAAATCTGTTGAAGGGTGTTAACACTTAGGTCTGAGGGGACATCCTGTGCCAGAAAGTTACTCCATGTGGCTCAGGGGATGGTTACACTGCTGACTGAAATCTTGATAACACTCATAGACTCTGCATAAACAAAACAAAACTTAAACTAAATAATGAAAGTAAAATAAAGTTGCATTTGCTATATCAAATCTTTTAAATAAAGCTGACCTATTAAAAGTACACATCATTATATAAATAATAACAGTAGAGAATGGTGATAAAGGGAGGGGAAGGAATTGGGATATGAGGCCTTCACCAACAAACAGTGCAGCTCCTGCACAGAACTGGAAGGTCACTTATCCACATCGGAGGTCAGTAGGAGCATAGATTGGCTTGGAGGCAGCAAGGTGATATGAGGGGACAAATTGCCTCAATTTAAAGTACATGATTATAATAAATATTCGCGGGGCAGGATAGAGTTGGGCCAATCAGCCTTGGAAGCAGGTTTTAACTGTTCAAAGGGGCAAACCACTATCAAATGGGTTTATTTAGAAAACCTGCCTTGCTTCTTTGTTCCAGTTATTTTAGAAGCCAAGCCCCTACCCCTCATACACACCATGTCACCTGTATGCCAACTCATGATTCCATCTACTGCATGTCCGCTCATATCACCTTGCTGCCTCCAAGCCAATCTATGGCCCTGTCCAACCCTCCAAGTCAGTTCATGCCTTAAACCAACCCCATACCTCCTCATCCCCTTCCCCACCCATCTCTCAAGCCAATCACTCAATATCGTTCATGGGCTGACCACTGGAGAAATGTGTAGATGAAAAAAACAGCTCCTAACAATCTAATACAACTCTAACCTGTACACACTTGATAAT